ATCTAATAACAGGCTTAAGCTATTGGGCAGCCCATTCTTTAACACATTTGGCGATATTACCAACATTAGTATTGACACTTGTTCTTATTAATATATCGATTGCAATATAATGTTTCTTCTACACTCAGAAAAATAATTTGGTCGATTTAAACAAATTTTAACTAAATCTGAGATCTATATATTCTTATTCGACGCATCATGCTGATTTAATCATACCACATTTTGATTTTCATAACTTCTTTACCACATGAGCTTTAATTTCTCTAACAAAATGATCAGGTCAAATTAACTAATATGTGGTTATAGCATATTCTTTGAGTGTACCCACTATTACAAGGAATAAAATCAAAACAGCTTCCTTAGCTTATCTTTTTTCAACTTCACCTACCTATCTACCCACCAAAGATGCTGACTTCAATTAATTATCTATTATTGTCAAGAACTGAATGCAATTAATTAATAAGAATTATATTAATACTAATACTTTCTATTGGTTTTTTATTCCACCACTTTCAAAAGTGTTACAAAGTGCACTATTTTAAACGCAGTCCAAAAATTATATATGACCAATTACTCCAATAGTCGTTTCTTAAAACCGTCTTTTACGGTATCCGTGACAGCTAGTAACTGGTTTAAAAATTAAACATTTTTGGGATTTAAAATTTTCCTCTATATCACTACCTTTTATATTCAATATAAATTTCTTGTGTAAACTAATTCCAAAGAATATATTATATATAATACTAGATAACCCGACAAACGTTGTTTTGCCTTATAAATTATTTCTAGTTTCTAGATAAATTCTAATGTAGACAAAAAGTAACTTACTTATTATAAGTGTGTAAGTATGTGGTATATGCATGAAATAGGCATGGAGCGCTATGAACGAAAACGAAAATAAAAATAACAAACGCCAAACAATATTATTTTTAAGTTATTATAGTTTATTTATTAAATTATTAATTTAAAATCAATAGATTTGTATGATACCAAGTTTCCTGGCAACAACTGTTGTATCTTCAAATTTAAATTGTCTTGGATTGACTGTAAATAATAATAATGATAATGGGCCAGTAACATTAACCAACAACAGTCGAAGATAAAAGCACTCAGTGTGTCTTGGATTAACTGTAAATAGGCGTTCGATTTAAATAAATTGAGACATGCATCAACTGGTGAAACTTGCTTGAGGGGCATCCATTTTTTTCTTTGAGCCCATGTGAAATAGCGTGGTACTTGTGAATAGAGTAATGTTCTTGCAAAGGCACCAAAATCATCCGTACTATTACACAATTCAAAAAATGCAGTGAGTGTAGATTTAGGTGGATTTGTACCACGATCAATCACTGTCTCGTTCGTGAAAAATACACGCTGACCGTTTTCAAGATGAACGGCTAACTGAACAGCTGCTGGATCCCGTTCATGAATTAGAAAACCGAAGATACGCCAAGCAGCTTCATTGGAGCTGATGTACCGACCAATTTGGTAGAGCGTAATTTCACCGTTTTTGTTCATTGGAGGAGCATTTAGCATTTACATTAGTATTTTCTACTCTAAACACAGCCATATCACTGCCTTTATGGACATACTTATATATTTGATGCTCTTCACAGAACTGCAAAACTCAACATTTATATGAGCATTGTATGTCTTGCTTAGCAGAGGCGAATACGGCACCACCCGCCATTGTCCCCCATTATCGGGATTTCTTCGACGATATATTGGATATCCGTCGGTATTTGTTATAGTATCATTAGTGAAATCTTTAGAAAAATTTTTAGTACATTTTCCATCTGCCATGCAAGGCGAAGACGAAGAAACGAAGTGGATGTAAATGCTCGATGTACTTGTTGGCGTAGTTACATAAAATATTAAGAAAAAAATTTTTCTTTTTCAAAAATATAAACAAAATTTATGTCAAAAAAATAAAAAATTTTTTGTTAAAGCAATAAGGATATTTTTGCTGGATAGGGACACCCTAATCACTTTAGCGGTATGAAAAATAGATAGTAGCCGATTCTCAGACCTACTGAATACGCATATAAAATTTGGTAAAAATCGGTAAAGCCGTTTCGGAGGAGTACGGTAACTAACATTGTGACAATGTTAATTTTATATATAAGATATATAAAAAATTTAAAGAGTAGAATAAGTTGTAATGTATGTGCTTGTAGAAATTTGAGAATATAAATATTGCTTTTAAATAAATCGATAATTTCTATATAAATCTTACCTAGTAGTTCTTAAATAAATAATGTTAGTACTGCAGATTCACATTTCAAACGATATATTGATCTCAACCAAATATGGACTTATTACAACTCTATAATGATCACTATGTAGGGAACAAAATTTATTGCAATTAGTACTTTGTAGTAAGACCATATCTAATATATTACAAATATCGGTAAGGTCAACCATTTAACATGGTACCACGCCATTTTATGGACGTAGAAAATATAAGAAAATCTTGTAATGGAGATCTAAAGTACATCCGGGTGGACGATATGTAGAATCAATTAAAAAAATTTACTCCGATAAGCTAAAGAATATATCGTTGTCTATATAAAAGACTCATTCAACATGCTTAATTAAGTCAATAGGAAACTATTATATCTTGTATAAAATAAATTAGTTTTGCCAAAGAGAACTTTCGGTTGCCCTATTCAGTTTGTAACACTCCTTATATATAATGCATAGGAAAATACTAAGAATTTATAACACTAGTAAACATTTTTATTGCTATATGCACAATTTGAATGAATAAATATCTTTATGATTTTAAATACTCTGCCCTTGAGATACACCTCAATCTCATGTTAAAAAGAAAATAGATGGTTTATGCTCTAACAGTTCAATAAAATTCAATTTTACTACCTTTAAATGAGTTTTCCTACCACAGGTAGAGTTTTAGCATGACTTCGAATGAATGAAAATGCACAACACATCCAATAAATCATAAATTTAACAAACTGAAAACCCTCTTAAATTGGTTACAAATGGTGGATGGAATTATATTTCTTTAAGAAATATTTGTTGAAAGATTTTTGGTCGTCAATAACAGGTGTGCCAGAGCAAGAAGATAAGGAATAGAACACCTCATCGCACAACAGGTAGCGTTGCACTTGTTAGAAACGCAGTTTGATGTTTTGTTTGAAGTATCGAAATTCTCAGTATTTTTATTGAAATTAGTTCAGATTTTTATTTTTAAAATGATTTTATTTTATTTTTCTATTGAGTTTTTCCTTTAATTTGATAAGAATGGCTCAAAACTGTTTTAACCCTTTAATACATAGGTTGCTTACAAATATTTTTATATTATGGATACGGTTTACTTTGGAGTTTATTGAAAGGCTTAGATGTTTTGACCTTTATCAACTCATGGAATAATTAATAGTAACATTATTGTACTTATATATAATATGAATTAATTTAAAAGGTACTACTTTTCATAATATATGTTTTTCTACATTTGATCAATTATGTTAGGTCTTATTGAGAAAATTCATTGTTTTATAACCTAATAATATTAAAAAATAAATTTATTATTGCAATAAAAATCTTTCAGTGACTCGAAGTTCACTACAAATTATTTAATTTTAATTATCATTATTATAATTATTATAATCGTTATAATTATTATAATATCAAGCCCAGCCATATGGTTAGTAGGACGCACTTACAGTCAGGCCATATTTTGACTCCATTCGGGAATCGTTTTACTTCTTCTATCACTTATAAATCGAAGGAATGAAAACGATATTTAATAGAATTTTTACTGTCTCAAATATATGCTACGTATTTAATTGTATATATTTAAAGAATATAGAATAAAAAACCAAATATAATTATATCCTTAGACAGAAAATTTTGCTGATATTGGTCTTCCCAGTGAAAACCGCTTAGTTATTTAATGTATATCATCAATAAATAACAAACATCAAGAAATAAAACTTCTGTTTGGAAAGAACTTCTTTTAATATTTAAAAAAAAAATTGGAATATATATGTACGCATTTTCTTCCTAATAACAAATACATTTTTGAATTTTTTCCAATATCATTTCCAAATATGTATATCTAAACTTAATATAAATCCATCTCCTTAGCAAAATTCTAGATTCAGCTATATATATGAACACCTTAAGAGAAGTAAAAATTGGGTTCTATTATTTGTAGACTTTATTTTATTAATTTAAATATTTTTACGATATTTAATTAAATACCGAATCATGATCTCGAAAATATTATATAGACGAATTAAAATGCGTTGAACATGTGATACGTATGCCGGATATGAGAGTACCACTAAAGACTTATGATTTATGAGAACGAAGTAGGAACCAGCAGAAGAAGAGGTGACCAAGAAAACGATGGTCAGACAGGACTTAGAAGAAGTGAACATAAGAAATTGGTAAACAAAAGTAAAAAAAACAGAGAAGACTAGAAGACTATTGTTAAACAGGCTTAGGTCCTACATGGACTGTATAGTCACGGATGATGATGACAAAATCCTATGTTTTTAGTAGATGAAAAATAGGTTTTCAAAAAAACTAGTGAACTACAAGAACAAAAAAAAAATTTTTTTTATTATATTTTAATTAATTGAATTTTTGGCTGTTTACACAGCTGTAAATGAAAAATATTAATTCAACCTTTACTTTTCAACTACATAAATCCTGTATAAAATTTATATAAAATTTTTAAATTTATTTTTCGATCTATTTATTAAAATGGTTTTTTTATATATATTTAATTTGGCTGTAGGTCCCTTCTTATTAAAATATAAAATGTTTAATATTTTATATTATACTCTATATTTCATCAACAGGATTACGAAGCGTCCTCCTCTTTGTTCTATCGTACAATATAGACGACAGAAGAAAGACTCTCAAGGAGTCTTTAAACGTTTTATTATTTAACAAGAATGGACCTACAGCCAGATTGAATATATATAAAAAACCATTTAAAAATGCTTATATATTTTGTCGATTCCACTTACCTTGTTACTAGTTTTGTCGTAGTTTTAGTAACAAAAAATTTGATCGATTTCCGATATCCTTTTTTAATCCACAATTTATTGTTTGGGAGTCAAGTAATTTTTAAATTATTTCACTAATTTGTTTTAAATTTTTATAATTTAATATTAAATCTATTATTATTAATATTATATTTTTAATAATTGAACTGAACTGCACAAACTAATCGATCACCTACTGATCGTACTGGGTAAATTATAGGCGAGCATGGCTAAGTGTCGTTATGGCCAAATATAAAAACATTAAATTTACAAATTTGGTTTGTAAAAAAATTTTTATAGTCGTAATTATTTTTTTTTTTTTGTTAAATTTGCGTAATTTTTAATGATTTTTTTCCTAACTATTTAAATATTATATTACATATTTTGTTTAATTTGAAATTTAGAAAGTGTGCCGTGCGGTGCGTGTATCGCGTCTACAGGCCTCAACCAAATCTTTACGTACTTAATGCTAACGCGAACAAAACCCAACTGATTTCGCCGCTAGCAGCTACGCAGTTGGAGAGCACCACAGAGTATTCAAAACCGTTTCCAAATAATGACGTACTGCGTATCAGGCCGTCGTCTATGCCGCAGCGCACCAAAAAGTTTTTATGCAAGCCGCTGAAATCGCGGATCAGATTTAAATTTGAAAATTAATGCGCGCGCAACGTTCACGTTTCGAAGGCGTAAAGTAGTTTTAGTAGGTAATGTGCCTACTATCCATTGAGTCTTGACTTCGCGAGAAGATTTTATAATTTAAATTCTTTTAAATTTATTTAAATTGAATTTTATCTTTGCTTTAAGTTCGCAAATGACAATCATTTAAATGACAATAACAATCAGAGCCACAGAATTATAACACAAAAGCCATTTATCCGTTGTTTATTATTCTTTATTTAAGTTCAGTTTTCTCGGCTTAATAAATTGAATACGACGACTGCAAATTTGATTTATATGCTTTTTATATAAAATTTAAATTCTGTTTTTATCTTCTAATAAATACTTTGTATAGAAATTGCTTTTTTCTATTTGCGTTTCTGCGCCAATTGCACAATTGCAGGAGAACTGCCGGTACGCGTTCAATAATTTTCACTAAACACAATGCCTAGAATAAAATTTATATTTATCTAAGTTGATTGCCAAGAAAAACTGCCAGCATCAAAGTGTTTTTCACACCAAACACTTAAAACCACTATCAACCAAGAAAACTCAGTTACCAACACTACACAAGCGGAACAGTTAAACGCGTTTATACCGCACAACGCTCGCCAATCTAATGATCATGAGCCGCTCAATTTACTGAATTTACTGATCGCTGCCACTACTGTTGCCGCGACTGTTCCTGGTACAAGTGGCAACTCATATTAGCGCTACACAATGTGTTGCAAATCGTGAGCCGGAGAGTCAGAGGCACTCCGCTACAAGCCGTAATTGCATTCACATTTACTAGATGTTGCGCTCATTTTCTCTCACATTCTCTCACTTTCTTGCTGGCGATCTGTGCACGCTACTGTTAACAGTAGCGTGCTCATGCGTTACCATTTTCCACATTTGCTACAATATCAATGCAACGTTTTCTTTGAATACCGGTTGCAACCGGAAAAGTCGGAAAATCCACTTCTTGTTTACCTGTTCATACAGTTCATGACTTAAGTGTTGCGCATTCTGCAATGTTGGGACAGTGTTTTCTGAAGGTCGAATGGATTGCAGCAATTTTTTCTGGGGATTTGCTTTAACTTTTTTGCGCCTCGCCATTTTTGTGGTCATTTAAATTTAAATTAAATAAATGAGCCTGAAAATTTGATGAGATTAAGACCGCACTTGTTGGAAAAGATGATTTCGTTGCGCTTTAAAGTATAAAAGTTTTTTAATTTTATATGGAAAATATAGTTATTTCGATTAGCATTCGGATTCGAATAGCAAAGAAAAGACAAGGACAAAAATTTTTACTTAATTTATTGAAATTTGGCTGACCATACAACGTTATTTCGAGTATTGTCACATACTCATCATCAGTGGTCTTAGGAAATATTTGAATTTCTTAATATACACTAATTTAGATTTATTCTTGAATTGAATTTCTAGGCTCACATCATTTTGAATATTTACAGGAGATCCCAAACAAACAAAGTCTTTCACATAGTTGTCAACAGTGACGTGGGTACCAAGCCGGTCACAATATTTATTTTTTGACAGAAAATACTTTGTTTTACCTCATTTAAATGGGGACTTTAGAATGAAACATATAGTAATTTGAGTTAAAATGTGCTTTCTATCAAATCACTAATTTTTTTAATTCATGAAGAAATAGTAGACCCTTACAGACCTCAGAAGAGTGAGCTATGAGCACATCATAGCTCAATCTGAACTATTGAAAATAATGAGATTAATTAAAGTATACTTGATAGCTTTTACTTATAAACCCACTTGATACCTTTTTAAAATAAAACTAATTTGAGTGTAGCAGAGAGCATTATCATTATATACAAATATTACGTTTTAATTATTACTTGATTAACTCATCCCCATTATGTTCTCTTCTATTACTTTTATCAATGTTAAAATTAAAAAATATTATAAAACAGAATAATAAAGGCGGGAGCTACTGACCCTGCTGTTTTTCCACAATTTCAGACTCCTAATGAGGCATACTTATGGTTAGTTATTGCACAAAAAGATTACTATGGTATAAGTGCTTAAATTCTCTAAGAGCCATTATCTACTCGAATCTAATCAATTTAATGTGCGAAATAATAAGAAAACCTAAATATATCAAAGTTTAATCACTAGATCTTAACTATATATATTAGTAATTCAACCAATAAATATAGAATCCATATTGTCACGATCTTTTTGGTTTAACGATAACTCTTCAATGTAAGCTCTTGTAAAGTAGCAATAAGGCGTTATCTATAATTTCTAAAATATTTACCAAAATCTGAGGAATGACTCATAAACGATTTTTAAAGTTGAGATATATACTTTTTAAGCTATGACGGAAACTAAAGAGTACAATTTATCACACTTATTCAGTGTTTGTTTTATATGTGTAGGTCAAGTATTTTCCGTAAAGTATCTTGACCTATCTAAATATTAATCAAGTTATTATACTGAATTATTATTATATTAATATATATATATATTATTATACATGTAATATGTTATATATAGGCATAACTATAAGAGTTGTGTTTATCAACAAAGCAATATGACATAGAATAATATAAAGAGGGACTATATGATAATGGCCGTTTCTGTGATAAGGTAGTCGTAGTTTCTTAGCGCATTATCATCATTGGTTTCTGTATCTCCCACTGGAGCATAGTACCTCAAGTATCTCTGTTAGACCCAAGAAGTTTTGTGCCTACTGAATTTGCTATAAAGTGGAAGTTTTCATTCAATCATTAGTTGTTCATTAGTTGGATCTGATCTTAAAATAAGAGGTTTCCAACCTTAAAATTTGAGTACTCATTATACTTATACTACCATAAGTTCTTCTTTTCTTTATATACGCGTTTCATTTTTATTAATTTAATGTATTAATAATAGAAAACTAAATTGTGCTATGTGTTCACTACTGGTTGTTCTACGATAATAAAATTCTCACCATTTTTAGGTCAGTATTGTTCTTTAGACGTGATTTGTTTTATTTGTTTTAGTTTTTTGATGAAAGTATTTTTATTTTCTCATCTAAAATTATATATTGCAACACCCATAGATATGTACACCTTTTGCAATATTTCCTCAAAATTTATTTCCAAATTATTCACTTCCAAAATGTTTCTAGTATCTTCCTAGTACAAGCACATTTTTACGATGAGCTTAATTTTCTAATTATATTAAATTCTTTTGATTTAATATTTAGAAAAAAATAAAAATAAAAATAATAATAATAATAAAAATAAAATTTTTCTCATTCACTCTATGAAGAATTATTTGTACGAGAATTGGTTCGGTTCGTTAGTTTAGCGGAAATTTCAATAAAATCCATTTGAGCTCAACTGAGCTGAGAAACATAGTCGTTCAACTTTGCACATTAGCGTAGTAAACATGTCTATAGTATACGAGTGATGTAGTGTTTTATACTATATAGATATTTGCCACAGCTAGCAGCATCACTTCAGATTTAAAAAAAAATCCAAGTAACGTTTGTGATGCGCACAATCAGTGATAATCAAGCAGCTCAGTTGATATAATTTTATCAGACAATAACTGCATAAATGTGATATGCTCTGCTCTACAAATGATTCCAAAAGATATAAAAGCTAAATTTTAAGCAAATACGAACCACAGACACAAGCACTAATAAGAAACTTGCCATTGATATTGCAGACTCATACATTATCACTGATAATGCTGCCGTCAGGGAATTTTTGAATATTAAAACTCACATGTGAGGAATAAAAAGCAATAAAATATTTGTCAGAATTTTCACTTTTCATAAACAATAAATTTTATTATATATATTTTTTTGTTATTCTTTGTTTTTGTACTTTTAAAAGTGTAGTAAACAATTTATTACATTTTTATTTATTTATTTATTTGTTACTTAGTGTCAAATTGGTTTCTTATTAGAGATACTTTTATCAATTTGGCTTATGAGTTGACTGAGTCGAACATAATATTCTTTTATAAATACATTATTAACAATGTATAAATAATACATTAAATCAATATATTTAATTAATTATTTTTAAATGTTACCTGATATAGGAACGAAAATTATGTAAAGTTTGCAAGCATCTCTAAGATAGAGCAAACATATAATAAGTTCTGGGAGTGTTCGACAGAAAAGTTCTTCTTAAGATCTTTGGTCCTCTATAAGTTGGCGGAGACTATCGCTTACGAATGAACCACAAGCAGTGTGAGCTTTATCCCGCTATTGATATAATTCAGCGAATTAACATTCAGCAGCTTCGCTGACTTGGTCATGTCGTGAGAATGAGGTATAATTGAATCGGGTAAACACCAAAAGATGGCGTCACAACAAATAACTATTTTTAAAAATCCTGTTTTCTTTGAATGTACCTCACAAGTATTGAATCTCTTTTAATATTATATAACTATCTAATATCCTTAAACTTATTGTGATCTAATGAAATACTTTGTT